AGGCGAAAAAGACATCCTCTCCATTTCCTAATTACCTTCGAAACTTGTTCCAAAAATGTTTTACTGCTGACCAAGCTACTTTATTCATTGTTTTCTTTTTCCCGGAATCCGCATTTATCTTAGTTCTTCAGCTATTATTCCTTTCAAACATACATCAATTTATAAGCCCTCCAGGCTGGTTTATAGTATTTTTGTCCCCGATATTTTCTAAGAGCTTAAACTTGATGCCAAAATTTAATCAGTTTCCTTTTTGTTTCTCATTTTTCCTGAGTTGAAAACAAAAACGCTTCCATTGANTTGAAAACAAAAACGCTTCCATGCTGGTTACCAAACAAGAAAACAGATGAATTTTTAATAGCAGCTGGAGTACTAAGGTTTACCTATCAGCAATTTTTCCAATTTCACCACCCAGGGCGTCGACTTCATGCACCAGCTGAGACTTGGCTGGCCCACCAACTGCCGGATTACATGGCTGCATTGAATTCAATATAATAAGACTACAATCATGAGATGAAAAGCAGATTCAGATATAAAAACCATCCTTGGGTTGGAAACATTAAGTCCCTGAACTATAGCTTATTGGAGATCACGGAAAACCACAAAAAAGTAAAAACAACAACTAGCCTCAGTTCCAAACAAGTTGAGGTCAGCTATATCAATCCTCACTCACCACGTCACTCCATTTAAATCATCTTGTGCTAATATTATGCAAATACAAACAGAAAGTACTAGAAGTTGTGTATATTTCCAAATATATAAATCTAAGAAAGGTTAAACTACTCCTAGAGAGCATAAGACCTACAGTAAAAGTGCTAACATCTAAAACATATTCTCAACTAATGCGTATCACCTATATAGAACACAATAAAGGTAAAAAGAGAAACATAAAACACTATAGTTTAACTTGAACAACACTGTAAAAAGGACACTGTAGTACAAAAATCATATAAGAGTGTTCATGAGAGAAGTTTTTCCTTCTCTGTTTGAGTCCATAATTTCAGCACAAGAAAATATCACAGAACTTATGAAACAAATTTACACGTCTTTTTTGAAAGCAGCAATTGAAACATAACATCACAAATTTACAAGTTGTCCCTCGGAAAGCAACAACCGAAGTCCATCCATTCCAACCTTTTCTTGTGATCACGTAAAAGTAGAATTCATTATGTTGCAACTTATTTGCCACTTTGCACTTACTGAGGGTCAATATGACCATTTTATGGAGCTAACTGAGATTAGATTAATTCATTCTTTTAAAATAAAATTAATATTCCTATAGTCACAACTTTCCACATCTAACAATGGCCAAAGAAAACATCTTAAGATGCTAGTCAAAATTCTACACCAACGAACAGAAAGTTCATTGCACATAATAGAATTAGTCCAAAAACAAGAAAACACTAATCCCTGTTACCTGCCATGCTATGCGATCAATATTAAGAGTAAGAAGGAGTGTTTTCGCCCCTAATCGTGCTGAAGCAAGGGCAGCTTCACACCCTGCGTGGCCTCCTCCCACCACAATCACATCATATCTTTCATCACCCACTTCACTGTAACTATTTAAGCCTGCCAATTTTTGTTAATTCATCAGACATTTTTCGCTCGATAACATGATTAGATGCTACACTAATTATGATTAATGACGCATATTTTTTTCATAACTCATGAGGATCATTAGTACCCAACCATAATGTTGTGTCTTTTGGCTTCTCAAGAGCCAAACAATAATCTTTGATGTAAATTTAAATGCATTAGGTGGTCATATTACAATGGCACAAAAAAAAACTATAATAAAATTTCATGCTGTTCCTAAATTTTACTGTCCAAAAAAATCAAATTTATATGATACTAATGAATATCAAAATGATCCTACAAGCAAGAGAGAATTTTAAATTGAACTTACAGTTTTCTCTGTTCAACAGTTTATAATGAATAAATATGATTCTCAAAAGAATATTTATATGAAGAATTAAGTCTTCTTAAGAGGCACTTTGTACTTACTACTGGACTGAGAAGTGGAAGCTACGACAGAGAAAGAGCGGCTAGAGGAGGAGTAGAGAGTACAGAAGCTACCGGAAAACCGGAAGCTCTGGTATAATCTAACGACTTGAGCTTGCCGATGCTTATGAAGAAATGGAAAGGATAAACAGCGAGGAACTTGAGAAGCGAACCGGCTCCAGTTCAGAGAAAGAGCGGTCGCCATTGATATTTGATATTAAGAGGTGCAAATCTGTTCAAGCTCGTATATGGAGAGATAATTTCTTTTGGAACCCCTCCTTGTTTTGTATAAGTTTTCCTGTACACCCCAAAGTTTCTAGAGTTACATGTGGTCCGGCCTTCTTTCAAGACTTGGTTGCCTGTTCTATTTGACCATTTTCCCTCCTCAAGTCTTTAACAAGTGGACCAAACAGTTAAAATTTTGTGAATGGCTTGAAATAGAGAAGTTAAAGTTTGAAATATTTTTAAAACAATACTTCAAATTTTTACATTTTAAATTGAAGTTGGAATAATGGATTAAATCATAACCAAATTCTTATTTGATCAAATATTTAAAGTTTATTCATAGACAAATGCCCAGTAGTAGTTGGAAACAAAATAATAACAACAACAACATACTCAGTGTAATTTCGCAAATAGTTAGAAACAACAAACAGCAATGACGTTACCTTGGAAGTGACTTAAGATTTCATCTATTTTTACCATATATATTTGGTACCATTCAATTGGAAGCACTATAAGTCTAAAATGTGTACTACTTATTAGCGTCAATTTCGGGCTATTTTAATTTGATTTTGAGTAGTAATTGCGCTCTATTTGCACATTATTTTCACAAAAAAGTTAAGCAGTAAAATGAAACGTTAGTTTGGTAGAAAAGATTACTTTTAATTTATTAAATCAACCTGTATTCTTAAAACTCATAAACTTGCAAAGCATAAACAACATTTTTATTAATAAAATGATGGCAAGAATTGGGCAAGTGTCTCAATTTAAGAAGTGTCCAAAAAGAAAGTAACCCTTTATTTTAAAGTTGTATTGACATCTTTATATCACAAAAGTTCCAATATTATTATTTTCTTTGAGAATGTCAAATTTCAAATCATTTCAGCTTACATAAAAGTAAAACCAGGTCGTACATAATGAAACACGAGTCTGAGAGTGTTTTATTCAACTCAACTGCATCCAAAATGGTCAGAGAACAATAAATACAAAGTTTCTATTGCTACATCAGATAACCCTTAATATTATACGTAGTAATATACTAGCATATTTTCAAGTGCAAAGAATACTGTCGCCAAAAGAATCAAAACAAGAAAAAAGGAACTGACCAAGAAAGAAACTCTCTCACACATCACTACATTAAGCCCTCCGCTCAAATACCAGACTCTATCCCACCAAAAAAAAAAAAGGAACGATAAGGAAAAGACAAAAGCTTTTTCTGCTTTCCCTCTCCCTGTGTTTGCTCCCATTCCCATGCTGATGGATATTCACAAGAAAACCAAAAAGGAACAGTGATAGCAAAAATATTTCTCATGTGCTATTTTCTCCGATGGCAACGGCTGGAGATATGACTACCACCCTAAAAACATCTTCTTCCCACTCCTACCACCAAGGCTTTCATGCTGCTCTTAAGGTTTTTGATAAACGCTGATAGTATTCTATTTGCTGCATCCACAAAGAAAACAGAAGCAGTATAACAAGAGACAATGATTGGATTTAGCACAAGATCATAAATACCTTAACTGTATATGCACCAGGAAACTAAATCAGCTGTACCTTGTCGGAGACAGATGGAGAAATTTTCTCCAAAGCCCGTTTGAAATGTGACTCCTTGATAGTTGATGGTGTGTCACCACAACTTGTATCTAATGCTCTCAATTTATCTTCAAGTGCAACCATTGCAGCTTCATTCATCTAGCAAATTTAAGCAGTTGGTAAAAGTACCAACCATGAAAAAAAAAGATATGCGACAAGTTCCAGTGGTGTCGGAGAGGGGGGGGGGGTCAGCATTAAACCATGTCGGACCCATCTGTAGATCAAGGTTGATTTCTCCGATAGTAGTTCTCTGAGATCCATCGAATNGGGGGGGGGGGGGGGAGGGGGTATAAAGGCAGGTAAAAGAAGTGGTTAGAAGAAAAGATGAACAAACCAGTGCTGATAGGTCCGCTCCACTTAAATTTTTACAAGCATCATCTCTTCCAATGGTCATCAAGTCAACATTAGTATCTATAGGTTTTTTCTGAGCAAGAGCTTTTAGAATTAGTCCGCGCTCCTCTGGACTAGGTAGAGGGACATATAGGAGTTTCCCTAACCTTCCAGGTCGAAGAATAGCTTGGTCCATGACTTCAGGCCTGCAAACATGATAATAAGAATAAGAACCAAAATAGGATGTGAATCACTTCCAACCTTCATTCAAAAACCAGAGACACATAATATTTGGAAGAACGAAATATACCTATTTGTGGCACCAATCACATAAACACCTTTTCTCTGATCTGCACCGTCTAGTTCTATTAGTAGCTGCAATAATTAGAGAAGTTTCACATTTGCAAAAGTTAAGAAGAATATAATTCAAGTTTTGTCAGGAACATATGCTCAATCATACAAACCTGATTCAAAAGCCGTTCAACGACCCAACCTCCTTCCTTACCACGCTTAGTAGTTAATGCATCCATCTGTTAAAAAAAAAAAAAAAAAAAAAAAAAAAAAAAAAAGAAAGGTAAGACAAAAAGAAAAGAAAAGTTGACAAACAATGTGTTTCTCACAAAAGTTTCTATTTCTTTTCTATTATTAATTTTTTGTGTACTAAAACAATCACTACAAAACTTAGCTGTCGCGTATGAAAACTATACTTTGTAGAAAGCATCTTATAAGTGCACTAGGATTTTGAAAGTTTCTACTTTTGTTTTATTTTTACTATTATTAGGGTACTGAACCACCACTATAAAACATTGTTCTCATATCTGAATATTGTAATATGTATTAGACCTTGTAGCAAGCGTGTTACAGGTGCAAGTCAATTTTCAAAGGATTTAAAAATGAGCCAAAGCTTCTGCAGTAGTTGAAGGTGGACAGACTCAAAGAGAATGAAAAGATGACGGCTATCAGACAGAAGTAAGAGTGGTCAAGTTCGAAGGCATCACAAGTACCTCATCGAAGAATAGAATGCATGGAGAACACGTTCTTGCACGAGTAAATAATGTCCGAATAGCTAACTCACTTTCACCAACATACTTGTTCAGAATTTCAGGTCCCTGGATGGAGATTAGTAAATGAGAAAACATGTCTTGCCAAATTCGTGCAAACACCAACAAAAGCATTGCATTAAGAAATGTGAAATTTGCAGGAACCTTAATGTGTATAAAATTTGCTCCAGCTTCATTAGCAACAGCCTTGGCAATTAATGTTTTACCGCATCCTGGGGGACCATATAGCAAGAATCCTGTTTCATTGTCCACTCCAAACTCCTGAAATGTGAAACAACTTTAAGCTTTATACTAGGTGTCATAAGAAAAATTATCAAACAATGAGGTTACGGCACTAAAAAGCCAGCACAGAATTGTTCTTAACTTGGTGCACAAAGGGTGCTTGCTTGAAATGCATGAATTACATAAAATAACTTGCTACTTCAACCAAAGGACAAGCATTTATTTGTTACTAGTCGCAATGTTCCCAATTAACAAATCCCATAGGACACTTGCAACTCCAGTTGTGACAAAGTTGGACACACTGGTAGGAGCAAGGGCATAATTACATAATTAAGAAAGACTACAAGTTATATACCAACAAGAACACCTAGTCTTCCAGCACATTAAGAAGTTCAGGAGTGGGAGAAGATGATGGAATGCTCTTCACCAGTTAAAAGATATGTAACAGTACAACTCTGGTATTCCCTATGCCACAGGAAAGTTCATTAAAGATAGCACGAAAACGGCCTCAAATAAGTATGGTATTTAAGTGGAGAATGGTAGAAGAGTGGGCAAGTTATCCACCGAGTTTTGAACCGTGCGCCATTGGCCCTTGGAGATTTCTCAGTCATAAATAAGAAAATAAAAGATGGTTCGAAAAACTCCACCTTAACCTTGATATTTAAAGATCCTCTGGGATAAAATAAACACCTAGCTTAAATTTGGGCAAAGAAATAGATAAATGCCCAAAAAACAATATAGATGTTTTAGAAGCACACGACATGAGGTATAATGAACAAAAAAAAACCATAACACGAGAAGGTCTTAAATGAAGGCTATCAAGCCAATAAGCTGACACACTGGTGCGGTGTTTATAGCAGAATATAAAATATAATTTAAGTTAATTACTCACCAGGTAAGCTTCAGGTTTCTTTATACGCTTGACAATGGAAAGTTCAAACTCCTGCCGCAACAAATCAAGGCCTCCAACATCTTTCCACATTACATTTGGTATAGCGGAGAAACCTTCTCTTCTAGATGAGGGTTGAATCAATTTAGCGGCTTCCTGCATATTATCATGTAAGTTATTATAGCAAGCCAAATAAACCGCTTGTTTCAGGGTTTAAGTGGAAGACAACCCCATACCCAGAAAAAGGGTGTCAGATACTAGATCAACAAAATAATAAGATAGATAGTACACATGCCAAAGTTAACCATTTTTTCCGATGATATTGGTGTTTGGGTCAGCTTGTGTGCGGTATGATTGATTCACGGGCTTACCTGCTACTCCCACTCGAAAAGTTCCTGGGTATCCCAGTCCACCAAGGCTTAGAGAAATGAGTAGAAATCACCCGTCCTTTTTTTGCCTCTATTGGAATTTGAACCCTAGGTTATAGCATTGAGCCATTGACTGCTTTACCGGTATTGTTTAATTCTCTTAACACATATAAGCTTCATCTGACAACGCTCATAAAGGATGATGCACCTTCCTTCCTTATCAAAACTTGATCTTGAATTTCAGTCTAAAAGGAGGTCATCCTTTAAGAGCATTATCAGGCGAAGCTTATATACATTAAGAAACTTAAAGCAATTTATTATACATATTAACCGTGAACTCAAAATCAACCACTAGAATCTTGGGGAAGTAGAAAAGCAGATTTCTGATTATGTAAATGAAAGTTCATGGTTCTTCTACTTGCTTAGGCCAATTTCTCTTTTACTTTGATCTTCATTTATTTTTTAATTTCTTTTTTTTTTTTTGGGGGGGCTGATGTTCCAGCGGACAGGATTAAAAATGTCAAGTGGCAATAACATATTGAAATTTACATGTCACAACCTAAGAAACATTTCTCGTAAAAGCAAATCAAGATTCTCAGATTCTCTGCATCATACCTCAAAATCAGCCATATTAATGCTAAGCTTTTCCATCTCGTCAGGTGACCATGGCTTTCTCCACCATTCTTCAGCATCTACCAATTCTCTTGAAAGCTCAACCTTCCTCAAGTCTAGTATCCTCTTCATTGCCAAGTTACCTGCCTTGTTAGTTAGAGCAGCTAAGTCTGCTCCAACAAATCCTGGGGTTGACCTAGCTATCTTCATGAGATCAAATGCACCTTCAACTCTTAGGTTACGTGTAAGCACAGACAAAATCTGCAGCCTTGCATTTTCATCTGGGATACCCAAGGCGATTTCACGGTCAAATCGTCCGGGCCTCCTCAATGCTGGGTCAATAGCATCAGGTCGATTAGTGGCCCCAATTACTAGGACATAACCAGGTCCGTCACTAGATCCTTCTGATTTTGCTTCACTATTTCTTTTATCAGTACGTACAGTAGTTCCTTTTGCATCATCATCGGGTTTTACAATTCTATGTGACTCATCCATGCATGTCATCAGCTGTGTTACAATGCGCCGCTCCATTTCTCTCTGTAAATTTTCTCTTTTGGAAGCAATTGCATCGATCTCATCAATAAACACAATAGATGGTGATGTCCGGTATGCCTTTGAGAACAGTTCCCTTATGTTTTCTTCTGATGCACCTTGATGGAGAACTACCATATTAGAATGAATGATAAACACCCAAACCGAAGGCATAAACTTTCAGTAATAAGAAAACACACACCCACACTCCTTAAAGATAAAACTCATAACACTCAAGATTGTCATACTACTGCATGATGCACCATAATTGGTGCTAAAGTAGAGAAATTAGCAGGTATATAGATACCCAGGAATATGATACTCCACAGTCAGAGGCGGATCTAGTAAACAACTTATGGGTTCACCCGAACCCAGTAACTTTTGGCTTGGACCTTGTGTATGTGCTAAAAAATCCATTAAATAATATATTTCGAACCAAGTAAATCAAATGGCCTATGGCAGAATATCGCATTCAAACCCATAATGTTCAAATCCTGGATCAGCCTCGGTCCACAGTGGACATTGTTGAAGTTTGGCAAAATGCCAAAGTCCCACATTGGTTGGGAGTTAAGTTTGGGGGGGATTTTTCCCCTATAAAAGAAGGCCTAATGTTTAGGATTGAAACACACCTCTCATTTGCCTTCTCATCTGTTTAAGGCATTTGTATCTTCTCTCTTTAGTATTATTTCACTTGTATTTTTGGAGTGGAATAAAATATTTGGTTGTGTCCGAGGAGTAGGCAAAATTAGCCGAACCTCGTAAATTCTGGTGTTCCCTTTATTATTGCTTTATTGTCTTATTTATTATTTGGTGGTTGTCATAATTTTTGGTATAGTAGTTGTGACTTATTCACACTCTATACATTTGACTTCCGCAACAGACATTGGGATTCATAGTATAAGAAGGAACACACAAAAAGGTTAAATTTGGAAAAGGCTTAAAGTGTTAGTATCTCCGTGGTACAACATGCCTGTTAATAGAAAATAGCAAGGTGAACAAATCAAACAACAAACAATTAGCTTCGCCTGTATCAGAGACCAAATCCGCAATAAAGTACGCTTGCAAAGATAGAGCAATAACGCAAAGAATCAAAAAGATCAAAGATTCGGCTTTTTACCTGAAATTCCAGAGACCAACTCAGTAGCAGAAAGCTTGTAAAATGGGACTCCAGTCTCATTGGCGATAGCATGAGCTAGCTTAGTTTTGCCACAGCCAGGTGGGCCATGGAAGAGTATTCCTGACATGGGCCTAACACCAAGATGCTTAGTCAGCTGAGGATGGTACAATGGAACAATAACCTCCATCTTCAGTTCCTCCAACACTCCATCCATTCCTCCTAAATCCTTAAACCTTGGCCCATCACCATTCTCAAGACTTTCACCAATCTTTTCCCCCTCTCTGGCCTCTCCTCCTCCGCCGTCTCCTAAATCCCTCGTGTCTCCATTTCTTCGTTGTCCTCCTTTCGACATATTAATTTTCTTCCTTTTTTCATCATTATTGTCGTGAATCATCTCGTATTCAATCTTTTTTGACTTGGGAGTATTATTCACCTGTTTATTGTACGTATGCCGAAGCATAGACTTCATTAAATCGGGCTTTTCTTCTAATTTCTCACCGTAAATAGCATCGGAAGACGACGAAGAGTAAGAATCATCGCTTTCGGATGTGGTCGCGAGAGTCGACGACTCTCCGTCAGCTTCCTGCTTCTTTCGTTGGCTGTTCATTATGTGTTTCTTCTCAAGGAGCTGCAAACGCTGCTCGCTGCTGTCTCTCTTTGGCTTCTTTCTCGGAGGCGTTACTTCTTCAGTAGGGTTAGGGTTCCGAAGTTGGAGAACAGTTTGGACCTGTCTGGTGAGATCTTGTAGCTTAGAGCGGGAATACTTATGATAAGTTGAACGGAGGTGGTCGACGAGTTCTTCAACGGAGAGGAAATCGTCCTTACATGACTCAATGTGGCGGCGAAGCTCGCCTGAAACTGGCCCGCTGCCGCTGCGTCCTCTCCTTCCCATCGTCTTTTCCGGCAGCCGCCGACGCCTACTGCTAAATTTTTCTGAGACGAATTTTTCAGAACAATTTGGCTAATGGTTTATTCTTCCCCTTGGGTTTTAAGTTCGGAAAAGGGCCAATAATGCCCCTAATGTATTGAAAATGCCTTACAAATGCTCTCTGTTAACCTTTTAGTCTAAAAATACCCTTAACATCTGTGTTGGGCTCAAACATACCCCTAAATCCAACGGACCAACCGGGGTGAAATTTTGGATATATATATATATACCCCTCGTTATACTATTGGGTTATCCATACCCCTACCGTCATACTTTGGAACAAAAATACCCTTATTTTGGATGGAGTGCCACGTGGTACCACCAGATTAAAATGACCCATTTCTTTTTTTTACCCAACCCATTTTACAAAAAACCAACAACCCGAACCATATTTTCATTTTTCAGTTTTTTAAAGAATTTTTTTTTGTAAAACTTAAAAATAAATTGCAAAATATTTTTGTTTTTTTAAACTGAGTAGATACTGAAAAGATTTTGCCAAACAAATTGTAAAAACTGGAAAAAATCGTTTTTTAACAAAATATTTTTTTTTGTAAAAACTGTAAAAACATATTTGTAAAAACTGAAAAAATTGTAAAAAATGGAAAAAAAAATTCAGTTTTTAACAAAATATTTTAGTTTTTTTAAAACTGAAAAAAATATTTCCAACAAAAATATTTTCGTTTTTGAAAAATGTTTTTTCTCATTTTTTTCAATTTTTTTAAAGATTTTCCTTTTGTAAAAACTGAAAAAACAAATTTGTATAAACTGAATTTTTTGTGCAAAAACAGAAAAAAAAATCGCTTTTTAAAAACTGAAAAAATTATTTTCAACAAAATATTTTCGTTTTTGAAAAATGTTTTTTCTCATTTTTTTCAATTTTTTTAAAGATTTTCCTTTTGTAAAAACTGAAAAAACAAATTTGTATAAACTGAATTTTTTGTGCAAAAACAGAAAAAAAAATCGCTTTTTAAAAACTGAAAAAATTATTTTCAACAAAATATTTTCGTTTTTGAAAAATATTTTTTTTTATTTTTTCAGTTTTTTAAAAGAATTTTGTTTTGTAAAAACAGAATTTTTTTTTTTGTTTTTTAACAAAATATTTTCGTTTTTTGAAAACTGAAATTTTAAAAAAAAAATGAAAAAAATGAAAATAGGGGTCGGGTTGTGGGTTTTTTTAAAAACGGGCCTGGTAAAAAAAAAAAGTGGGTCGTTTTAGTCTGGTGTTGTCACGTGTCACTCCATCCAAAATATGGGTATTTTTGTTTCAAAGTATGACAGTAGGGGTATAGATGACCCAATAGTATAACGGTAGGGGTATGGATAGCCCAATAGTATAACGAGGGGTACATGTAAATAATATTTGAAAGTAGAAGGGTATATTTAGCCCTTTGCCGATATATATATTGGTTCAAAAATTTGGATATATTTAAAACAACCACCACAATAGAAACTGTACCGTACAAATTTCTGATTTTTCTTATCTCATTTCTTTTCTTTTTGTGTACTTTCATGTTTTCATCTATTTATAGTAGTATCAATCTTTTATTTTAATCAACTAAATAAGGATTGCCCATGCCAGCACGGGCCCAATCTATCGGATACATAAGGTATTTATACACCATCACTCGGGTTAAAATTATACAAAGCTAAGAGTTTAAAGACTTAACGTGTCTACTAAAATTAATAGGCCGAATACATACGGAGACACTTAAAGTTGGCACGATCTTTCATTTAGACACTTCATCTAAAGCTTGTTTCATTTGAACATTTTAACCATGTATTTACTGTGTCATTTAGACACAAAATTTTTAGGCATCCATACGTAATAGATGCGTGAAATTCACACGCCAGGGTAACCAATAAGATAGAGACACATGGATTTATTAACAATTAAAAAAAGACTTTAGAAAAATGAAAAAGAATAAAAGAAAAACAAGAATCTCAACCCACCCCTCCCCTTCGTCATCTTCCCCAACGACTCTCACCCCCCTTCTTTTCCATCTTCATCTGCAAAACAAAGTACTCCCATAACCATGGCTTGGCTTAATTCTAGGCCACATTGCCGGAAATGGAGTTTCAGGGTTCCAAATCGAACAGAACAAATGCAAAATTTTGCAAATTCTTAGATTTCACCGGAAAAGTTCGTACTTGGTTTTTTTGAAAATCTAAAAATTAGGGTTCGAAGTTGGCTGGGTGTTCGAGTTTTTGGTTGTAAA